TTTTGCATTTTGCTCCAATATATACCTATTCTCTCTGTGTACGTACGTAATACATATATATATATATATATATATATATATATATATATATATATATATATATATATATATATATATATTGATGATGCTAAAGTTTAGATCATCTGAGGTAGTGTAGAAAACGAACTGGGAGAGGAAAGCGGATCAATATCTTGACAACTTGATGATCCTGAGGTACCTGCGATCATAGAATACGTGAACTAGGCCGGGGGTTGATCCGGCAGAAACCCCTCCGGCGCTCAAGTCAGACGTGCTGATCGTAGAAATAGTCCAGAGAATACATTTAATAGTATTGCTCAGATAATAGGACGTACCTTAAGGAATGAGTTCAAACCTTTATTTATAGCTTAGTTGAGATTGTCGGGCCCAAACTTTACTTGAAGGTGATTGGGCCTCGGCGATAGTGCTCTTCGATATTGGGCTCGTGGCCCAGTAGGTAAATAATTTGTAGGCCCATTGGGTTGGGCCAATTAGGCATATCATTAAGCCCCCCACTCTCGAGTCGATGTGAGAGCCATGTTGCAATGGGTTCTTGATCGTGTCGAGAGTAAAACTTGTAGTGGTCGCTCTTTGGCATATGGCCTGATGGTGTGCGAAAACGTGTTGGAGCGTGTGTCAGAAGCGCGTGATGGCGCGTTGTCGCGATGAAAGTTACTTGAGTCGTCCATGTCGTTTCGCGACGATATAGTAGCGAATTATCTCCTCGTGGGAGTTGTCTCATCGCGGGGTAATAGAGTTGATCGAGTTATCTCCTCGTGGGAGTTGTCTCGCAATAATGTAGTAGTACGGATCAAGTAATCTCCTCGTGGGAGTTGTTATTTATTGACATTGTCAATGTTTCGACGCGTTGCTCGTATGTGTTTACATATAGCCTTGTGCGTGATGTACTTGAGGAGGGGATCAAGCTCTCAAGATTTTTTTTTTATGGGGATCGTGTCCCTTGTTAGACCTCGTAGGTTGTAAGTATGTTTGGACCGTGGCCACGTTTTAATGAAGGACCCGTCGAAAACAAGTAGAGAAATTTGAGTAATCAAGTTGACCAGGCTATATAGATTCCCATAATATCTCTAAGTGTTTCTAAGGTTCTAATCGTGCTAACTCGAGTTTGCGATTGTGTAGGGAATTGCGAACGAGTTGTCTCCTCGAGAGAGTTGTCTTACAGCGAAGTTGTAGGAGCAGTGGATGACGCGCGATTGAGGAGCGTACGGATTGAGGTCGCTCTGAGCGAGTTATCTCCTCGTGAGAGTTGTCTCGCAGCGAGTCTTATTATCGAGCGAGGTGGCTGCACGTGGGAGTTCCCTTGTAACTGATTTATAGTGCCGAGCGAGTTGACTCCTCGTGGGAGTTGTCCCGCTGCGGGTTGGGGTACCGAGCGAGTTGGCTCCTCGTGGGAGTTGTCTCGCTGCGGGTTCGTAGTACCGAGCGAGTTGGCTCCTCGTGGGAGTTGTCTCGCTGCGGGTTGTAGTACGGAGCGAGTGGTCTCCTCGTGGGAGTTATCTCGCTGTGGTTTTGAGACCCGAGGGAGTTGGCTCCTCGTGGGAGTTGCCTCGCAACGGGTTATAGGACGGACCGAGTGGTCTCCTCGTGGGATTTGTCCCGCTGTGGGTAGTAGTTCCGAGCGAGTTGGCTCCTCGTGGGAGTTCTCTCGCAAGCCCCCCACTCTCGAGACGATGTGGGAGCCAAGTCAAAAAGAGTACCGGATCGTGTCGAGACGTGTCGAGAGTAGATTGGTGCTGTAGTCTTCTGTTAATCGTTGGCATGGCGTGGAGAAATAATTTTTTTTTATTTATCCATTTGATAGCGAACGCGGATGAGGCGATAACGAAACATTTGGATGAGATGTCCAACCTTCGGATGGGATGTTATATTAGAGACCTATGGTCCGAGGTGGATGCGCACGGTTGTGCCATTGCTTCAGTTGCGCTCTTCAACATTTTTTTTTTTTTTTTTTCTGTTGACGCGCGAGCGCGATTCTGGGCGTGCGTGTACGCCACGCGCACGTACTATGCACGCGCGTTTCTTCTCTTTTTTTTTTTTTTTTTTTCTTTAGCTTTTTTTGGAGATTTCTTATCTTTGGGGTAGAGAGATGATACGCTACTCTTAGTTTGGAATGTCTAACTCTTTTGGGTAGAAATGTAAGAGGGTGTGTAGCAACAAATTTCTTATTTGCGATTTAGATAAACAAGAAAAACTTGCACAAAAATAATTTTATTGAATAAAAAATAAATATTGCGGGTTACAAACTCTAATTTAATCCTATGATTCTTCTCTTAAGAATAATATGCGTTTGACTTTGAATTTCGGAGTCGGGTGGTTGACTTGATCTTCTCCGGATTTGATTTGGATTTGAATAACGTCTTCCGAGGGTTTTGCGACTTGAATCTCGGATCGAACGCTGAACTTTGACTGGTTTTGACTTGAAGATCTTGGAGTTCTTGATGGATTTGGCCCTTCAATCTTCCTTCGATCTTGATTTGTTGAACTTTGACGGGCTTTGACTTGAAGATCTTGGAATTCTTAATGGATTTGGCCCTTCAATCTTCATTCGATCTTGATTTGTTGAAGAACGCCCTCGATTTGATGAAGAACGCCCCTTGAATTTGATGATGAATGACTTGAATTTGATGAAGAACGACTGGAATATTGTAGAGAGAATTTTCTCCTACGGTTTTTTTTCTTCTTCAGTTGTGTGTTGAATTGTGTAGGGAGGGTCCCTATTTATAGTGGTAGAATAAGAGTCTTACTTAAAGTCTACTTGATGACGTGGTGCGATTTGATTGGCTCTCTTTAAATTGATATTTATCTCTTATAACTTGGAAGAGAAGAAATAATCCTATTGGCCAATAATTAATTAATAATTATCTCCATGACTTGTCTTGCAAGACAAGGTATAATTTAATTTAGACACAATTTAATTGGCTAATTTAATTAACCAATTAATTAATTTTATGCATCTACAGGGTGTATCAATCACCCTTAAGATGAGATATCCAACCAATGGAATGCTGAGCACGCGGATGTAGAGAGCGCGGATACGTAGTGCGTGCGCGGAAGCGGATGTGGAGCGCATGCACTGAAGCGGATGCGGATCGCGCAGATTTGGAGTGCATGCACGGATGCGGATGCGGAGAGCGCGGATTTGGAATGCATGCGCAGATGCGGATGCGGAGCGCGCGGAAGCATAGCATATCATAGCATAGCATAGCATATCATAGCATAGCAGATGCGGAAGCATAGCATATCATAGCATAACATAGCATAACATAGCATATCGTAGCATATCATATCATAGCATAGCATAGCAGATGCGGAAGCATAGCATATCATAGCATAGCATATCGTAGCATAGCATATCATAGCATAGCATAGCATATCGTAGCATAGCATAGCATAGCATAACAGATGCGGATGTGCAGATACTAATGTGGACCGCGCGGATGTTGAGTGAGCGGATGTTGAGCGCACGTATGTGGAGCGCATGCGCGAATGCAAAGAGCACGGATGGGGAACGCATGCTCATATGCGGAGTGGAACGCGTGGATGCGGAGCTCATCCGAACGGAAGCGGAACACATGCGCGGATGCAGATGTAGAGCACACGAAAGCGGAGCACTTGTGCGCATGCGGATGTAGACCGCGCGGATGCTGAGCGCGCGGATGTGGAGCGCATGCGCGGATGCGAATGTGTGCGCGCTCGTCGCTTGGGCCGCGACATTGGGGATGTGTTATCCTTGGAGTGGAGAGAACATACCCAACTCTTGAGATGAGATGTGAATTTGTTGGAGTTCAAAGGTAGGGAGGATGTACCACCCTTGTGACGAGATGTCCAACCCTTTGGATGAGATGCCAAACCTTGAGGTGGGATAGCCCCCCATCTTAGGTGAGGAGATCATGAACCTTGTTATGGTTTTGAAGAACTTCCAGTGTCTTTGACATCATTGGAATGAGGAGCTCGTAAGGGAGAGGCGTTGGCTCTCCGAGGTGAACATGGGCGATATTGCGCAGTTTGCGCTTCTCGGCGATGTTGCACAGTTCGCGCTTCTCCGCGATGAGTGAGTTGTTGTATTCGGAATTGAAGGTTCGAAGTAGATGCTTACGACACACTCGCTTGGCGGGTGATACCTTATAGTGGTGGTTGTGCTACGGCTGGAGCCGCATGAGGGGCGTTGACTCCTGCTATGGTGATGTATGGTGCCACTGCTTCAGTGACAGTGGCAACACGAGTTGAAGCTTCTGCGGTCATACTCTGAAGGTCCTCATCGGTTATTTGAACCGTTAGAGGAGCAAGTAGAAGTTGATTTTGTTGAAGGTTCGGCTATCATACGCTCAAGGTCCTCTTCGGTTATCTGAACCGTCAGAGGAGCAAGTAGAAGTTGATTTTGTTGAAGGTTCGGCGATCATACGCTGAAGGTCCTCTTCGGTTATCTGAACCGTTCGAGGGGGGATGGAGGTAGGCCCCCATTGAGTCGATAACCCATGGGGAATGAAATATTTTGGGGGCAGAGGTAAGCCCCAAGGGAGTCGATAACCCTTGGCGAACGAAATGTTTTGGGGGCACTGTAAACCCCCAGGGAGTCGATAACCCTTGGCGAACGAAATATTTTGGGGGCAATGTAAACCCCCAGGGAGTCGATAACCCTTGGCGAACGAAATATTTTGGGGGCACTATAAACCCCCAGATTTTATGTTGACTTGAGCTAATAATTATGTGGTGAAAGAGCAATAACACCGAGAGTAAAGGAAATAACTCGCTTTATTCATTGATCGAAAAGGTGAAGCTTACGAGCCTACTTGAGGCGAAGGTAAATAAACAAGTAGGGAGCGAATCGCTCGAAATAAATAAACTTGTACTAAGTAGATGATGTAGGTGTTTCGTTCAATTGATGTCGAGAGGTGAGGGTATGTATCATCCTTAAGGTATGATAGCCCCCCAGTTTTAGGATGATGTGCTCACGAACAATGTTATGGGCTCGATAGACTCCAAGTGTCATTGACATCATTGGAAGTACAAGGACGTATAAGGAGATTATCAATGAGATGTTGACGATTGTCGTCGGCCATCTCGTCGCGGGGTGGTGAAGCTTCATCTCTTTTCCTCTTGGGAGGAGGGAGGGCCAAAGCCTCTTCGATGCGGACGTGTTTCTCAGCGCAACTTAGTAACTCTTCCAGAGTGGTTGGAGGTCTTCCTACCATAGATTCCTTGAATCTACCTTCCTTCAAGTTTTGTTGCATGATTCCAGCGAGCATGCTTCCTCCCACGTTAGGAACTTTGTGAGATGCCTCTACAAATCGTTGAATGTAGTTGCGGAGGGTCTCGCCCTCTCTCTGGGTGATAATGAAGAGGTACGCGGGAGTCTTTGCGTACTCTTTGTTGATAGCGAAATGGTGGGTGAAGCGATCTGTTAGTTGGGAGAGAGCTTCAATTGACCCAGTGGGCAAGGAGTTGAACCAGCTCAATGCTCGTTCGGAGAGCGTTGTGTGAAACATCTTGCACATCGCCGCATCACTTGGGCCATATAGATCTGCCATGGCGTAGAAATTTTCAAGGTGCTCCTGTGGGTCACCAGTTCCATCGAATTGCGGTAGACTCGAGACCTTTACCCGTTGATGTAGTATCTCATTGATTATTGCGACAGTGAATGGATTGTGCCTTATTGGAGGTATCGCCCTTCCACCAATGGGATTACCTATGTGGGGAAGGTGATTTGAGCGAGATACCTGACTGCTAATTTCAACCTCTCTACCATTGTGTGGAGGAGCTCGTTGGTGAGATGTGTTGCCTCTTGAAGGTGAACGTGGGTCTCGTCGCCCAGTTCTTGCATCTTGGCGATGAGTAGATTGTTGCATTTGGGAACGTGGGTCCGAGGTAGAGGAGGAGACACTTATTTGGTTCTGGACTGGCGGTGGTGCCAAAGGTGGCTCCACAGGTGGAGTTGGCGCTGGTATCGCATTGGGAGCGTTTGCTTCCATCGTGGCGATATATTGAGTTACGGCCTCCGTGGCGGCGCGACTTGAGGCTTTTGCTATCATGCGTTGGAGCGCATCCTCGGTTATTTGAACCGTTCGAGAAGCAGGGAGTGGCGGATCGGCGAGTGGTGGGTCCCGAGGGGGGATCACCTGAACCTCGCGAGGGGGATCCGCAGCACGTGGAGGAGGTGGCAAGCCAGATCCTCCTCGGACTGGGAGGTTGCTAGCTGTGTCATTTTCTCTCCTAGCAGACGCCTCAGGAGGATCTCGTTGGCTACGTGATCTTGTTTGCATCATTCCCACAGACGGCGCCAAAATGATGATGCTAAAGTTTAGATCACCTGAGGTAGTGTAGAATACGAACTGGGAGAGCAAAGCGGATCAGTAGCTTGACAACTTGATGATCCTGAGGTACCTGCGATCATAGAACACGTGAACTAGGCCGGGGGTTGATCCGGCGGAAACCCCTCCGACGCCCAAGTCAGACGTGCTGATAGTAGAAATAGTCCAGAGAATACATTTAATAATATTGTTCAGATAATAGGACGTACCTTAAGGAATGAGTTCAAACCTTTATTTATAGCTTAGTTGAGATTGTCGGGCACAAACCTTACTTGAAGGTGATTGGGCCTCGGCGATAGTGGTCTTCGATATTGGGCGCGTGCCCCAATAGATAAATAATTTTTAGGCCCATTGGGTTGGGCCAATTAGGCATATATATATATAATTATATATATATATATATATATATATATATATATATATATATATATATATATATTTATAATTTTTGGGGGAATCTCTGAAAATGATTAAGAGGGAATAAAATGACATCACTCCTTGACAATAATTGCCTTGGAAAAAATGTCCTAGGATCGATCGGTCCAATTTCCAAATATTCCATAGGCTTTTCTAGGCTAAATTCCACTTTGCATCCTCAAGGTAAATTAATAGCACTTTGCATCCTCGAAAGTCGAAAAACAATAAATCATGCATAATGCACTCTAAATGAATTTTTAAAACTAAAAAACCTAATTTAATAATTTTAGTGGTATTTTTTAAGATGTCAAATTTCAATTCAATTTGCTTTATTCATCGATCATTTGAAACTATAAATTACAAAAATTAAAATACATCTAATCACCATATTTAATTATTATATTTTTTATTAGAAAAATATTTTACGGAAAAAAAGTCCTTCATCTATTTCGTTATCAAGAAATTTAAATATCATATACCTAATATTTCCACAAATTATAATAAAAGATCCATCGATCGAATAATGTAGTGATAAAATTTTAATTTTATTTATTTTGTAAGAAAATATAGTTTTTTCAATAATTCGGTGTGATTTTTATTTTTTTTCGCACTTTATGCGCTTGAAATTAGGTTGGAGATTGAAGAAAATAACAATTTAATTTGTATTTTGCATCCTGGATTTTTTTTGAAATTGCCTTTATTTTTCAATTCATGGTGCATAATAAATGATTTATTGCGTTTTGAGAGTACAAATGTACTATTATTATTTTTCAAGGGTGAAAAGTGCCAAAGACTCTATTTCAAGGGAGTAAAGTGGAATTAAGCTGGCTTTTCTACTTCTTATTTATTTATTTATTTATTTATTTTCTCCTCGTCACCTTTATCCCATGCAGATTATTTATTGTTAAATATGGATATTTTTTTTTATATTTTTTTTTATTAATATATTATTCTATGTAACTTGTGTTATTAGTAAAAGAATTATCACGTGTCAATGTGCGACAACATTTTATATATAAGGATAAGGTAAATTTCACTTTCCCCTTGTACTTTGGCTTGATATCACTTTAGCTCTTTTTACTTTTAATTGTATTGATTTGCAGCCCTGTACTTGAAAAGTTGTCTCAATGTGGCCCTCACCGTTACTTTTCACACATTTGACCTTAACACCGCTTGATCCAAGTATGAAAATTACAAAAAAAACCACCTCTCTCAGTTTAAATAATTATTAAAAAAAATTGTGATTGGTCAAACGGTGTTAAGGTCATATGTCTGACAACTAACAACGGGGGGCATGTTAAGACAATTTTTCAAGTGCAAGGACGCAAATTAATGCAATCGAGAGTAGAATAAAGTAAAATGATAACGAACCAAAGTAAATGGGGAAAAGTGAAATTTACCCATAAAAATATTCATAGCTAAACAATCAATTATATATTTATCTTTTCTGCCAAAAGTTATACAAAAATAATTACTTAATAAACTAATTTAGATTTTCTTTGGTAATACCATTAATTTCTTTCAAGTAACTCAATACCCCAATTGTCTTTTACAATTTCTATTGTTAAAGTTTCTCTCAAAACTGTTAGTTTGACGTAAGTCGCTCCAATTAATATTAAATTATTTGTCACATGCAGTTCAAATGCTCTTCAAATTTCACACAACAAGTTTTCATTAAAAAATAATTAGGGATTAGATTAAGGAAATGAGTTTTGTATTCCTTTATACGTTCATTTGAAATAGAAGATAAGAATTAACTAGCTAGCCAGGTTCTTTGTGCGTGATTTATTTAGATTGATATAAGTTGATTTCATTTCGATTTATTTATTTAGGTTCATTTTTTTTGAATTAATAAAACTAGTGAATCAAGTTCACAGCACAAAGTTAAATTAGTGAATTTACTAGTTCTTTTTGTTTTTTTTAATTACATGGACGAAAAGTTCAGATCAGAATTAAACATTTAACCGATCCATTCATCCCAAGATTAATGCACGTACAATTAGAACATATATAAGAGCAATAAAAAACCAACATTTTCACTAATTAAAAATGAATCAGAAACCACACACAATTACTCATAATTATATTCCATGGTTGCGTGCATGTAACATAGTCACTAATAGCAACATGCAATAATTACTTTACACGTTCGTGATATTAGTTCATCTTGAGAATAGTTAAGTGTAATTGATTGCTCTTATATATGCAATAATTTCAAATTAGTAAAAAGTTGATTGTTTGATTGCTCTTTTATTTATATATATATATATATATATATATATATATATATATATATATATATATATATATATATATATATATGTTCGACTTGTTGATTAATTGGACTTAGTTTTTTAAAAATATTTGAGCTTAATTATGGATAATAAATTGAAAATTTAGGTTCGGTTTGTTGTTGCATTAATTTGGAGATATTGTTCTAATTGCAATTAGTTGCTAATTAAAGACTCTTAAATTGGGGAAAATAGGTGCTTGATATATGCTTAAAGAATTGATGTACAATTGATCGATTGATTGAGGCTTGCACTCATTCGGGTTTACTTTAATTGCTTGGTTAAGATTCAATTCTTTTGCAGGTGACTCAGATCGTAATTAAGCTCTTACAAGTTATTTCTATGATACAATAGGTGAAGGTTATATCGGGATTTTTACTGTTGATCTACACGCACCAATGTGGTTGTGTGTATTTGTTTGCTTATAAAATGGTAAAGATTTACTCAGTGTATTTCTTGTTTTTTTTTTTTGAGAAAAGAAAAATTTCATATCAGAGAATTGATTCAACTATTACAATGTTTTGAATTTCCAGTGGCAAAGAACCGGAAAGAGTCGGGTCTTTAAAAGACAACTGAGCTAAGCATGAGCAGCACCATTCCCATTCCGACGTATATGGAGAGCAGAGAAAACCTCGAAACATGGTATAATAGCATGAATATCCGCAATAAGATTTCCATACAGCGATCGATCATCGTCCTTGCCTTCAATCGCCTTGATGACCACTGTAGAATCGCCTTCAATAACCACTTTCCGCCAGGCTTTGTCCCGAGCCAATTCAACCGCCAGCAAAGCTGCTTTTGCTTCTGCTGAAGTAGGATCTAGAGGCTGATGAATGCAAATCGACATCCAACCCACACAACCACCACAATGGTCTCGAGCAATGATCCCCACACCAACTAATCCATCATTGGCATTAACGGCTGCATCAAAATTAATTTTAATGACGCCCGTACTAGGCAACAACCATCGACTATCGGACGTTACTCTTAGAGCCTGATTTGACAAAACTCGAGCAGAGGGTTGTCGAAGCTGGTTCATAAATTTTTGCGCGAGTGAGATAGTAGTAAGAGCGTCCACCTCTTTGTCTTCAAATAAAAAGCGGTTGCGATAGAACCAAATAGCCCAACAAACAGTCATACACATCTCAAAACCTCCGGTATCCGTCAATTTGCTCATGTTAGCAAACCAATCCACCATATCGTTCCCCCGCCACTGATACACGCTCCAAGGAATATTACTCAAAGCCCAAACTTGCCTCGCAAAGGAGCATAGCACAAAACAATGCAGCAAATCTTCATCATCAGCTCCACATATTTCACAACAAGACTCAGTGTATTTCACATGATATAAACCGTCTCTTGCATTAGTTCACGATTTCTGTTGAGTGGAGCTGGTGATTTAGTTTTTTTTTTTCTTTTAATTAGTTTATTATCATAGACTTATTAATCTAATTTATTAAATTAGGGCCATGTAAAACAGTATCTATTTCTTTTATATAAATTGATTGTCAAACTTCCAAAACCCATGTATTATGTAATTCGCTATTAGAATTTTAAATAACGTATGGTTGATGTCATTTAACCACGTGCATGACACGCTGAAAAATAATATGAGTTCTTAGAATAGAAATTATCTTGAAATTAAAATAACCAAATAGGCTAGCTCCTTAATTAATAAGCTGGTTCTGGAAATTAAACTTGTTTTATTAATTCAAGATGACAAGACATACAGAGTTCACTTCAGACAGTAAATCAATGTTGACAATTATCCATAATAAGTCAACTACATTAATTAGCATTCACTAAGATTGATTGTTACTTTGTCTATGCCAAAATATGTGTAGCTTTGGGATGTTGGGCACATATTAAGAAAACTAATAAACGTATCTGTTCATGGTCATCCTCCAACAGCATGGGGCCCACCGCCGAACCAGGGATCAACGGTCTTTGCATCTGACTCGGTCTTTGCCACGTCATTCACGACCATCCAGTAGCTCTTCCTCGGCGACGACAGAGGAATTCCGTCGCTGTTCGGAACAACTTTTGTCTTCAAGTGAGTTTGTACGAAGAAGTTAGCGCGGCTGTCGATGTCTAGGTCAAGATGGAAATTGACAAAGTGATCGTGTTGGATTCCAACGGTGTTCTCTGCGACTAATGTACCGTATAATTCCTCCCCATCTTCTGTTTGGTCCTAGTGAGTGTATTTTGATGTCTTCACTAAGAATTCCTGATAAACTCACCTGTTTTAATTTGTAGGGGCAACTAATTAATAAGTTTCATAAATTATGAATTTAGATAGTACATTATAATTTTGATCAGTTTGGAATATCTATATATCAAATTTAATTTGATTATAGTTGCATCTTGTAACACTTCAAAATACGCTAAATGGTTTTTTTCGGAAATAAAAAAATCTACTTCAAGTTCTTTTCAGAAAAAAGTCGTAAAATTCGAATTCTCTTTTCAAAATCGGAAGAACGAAATTGGCGGAAATCGGAAAAATTCCACCTTTTTAGTCACTAAAAATATCAAATGTATAATAATATATATAAAATAAGTGTAATTTTTGGAAATATAATGAAATTTTCGGAAACTGAAATCAGGAATTTCATATATATTCCAATCCCGGTCCAAAAATAAATCGGTAAAAAAAGGGAATCTGATTTCCTGCATTTGGAATGAAAAATATTATTCCAAAATCCGGAAAATTCATACCGGAATCGACATAAATCGAAAATTTTGTTCCAAATTTCAGCCCCTGTTTATGAGTATTTGTGTAACTAAATAATCAGTTATTCAGTAGAAAATTAATCAAATTTAATCCGACACATAAAACAGAAAATAAAAGTTTCAATTGAAACTTACAGTGACTTTGATGCTGCCAGTTTGCTTAAACTCCCAGTCAATTATGTAATCACAATTTGCCACGGTGGACACCATCCTCCCAACATGTGTGACATCCTCTCTCACCTCCTACAATTATTTTCAGCCATAATTAATTAATCCATTATATATATATATATATATATATATATATATATATATATATATATATATATATATATATATATATATATATATATCTCACCACGGTGTCACCTGCAAGTATTGTCTCGCTGTGGCGCCACATTATGTCTCCAGCGTATCGTTCGAAGACGCAAAACATGTTCTCCGTTTTCGCCGGGGTTCCGTCTCTGGTGGTGTAGTAACCGTCCAAGAAAACGGCCTTTTTAGGACAATCCTTCAACGGTTGGAGCGGGACCGCGCAGATGCCGAACCCAAACTCGCCGGCATCGAGGAAGGTTCGGAAGTACCATTCCTTGGTTAGGTCTTGGTATGGGACAAACAACTCCGATTATCATAAAAAATAATAAATTTAATTTCTAACACATGTAAGAACCTATTCGTAAATCGTAATATTTTATCAAAATATTTGAACCAATTAAGCTCAAGTCCTTTCAATTAGTAAACATTATTCAAATATTTGAATCAATTAAGCACGCTCAACTATTGACAAGAACGTCTTAATCAAATTAACTATTATTAATTAAATTGTAATACATTTTTAATTCAATTTTATCATAAAAAAATAATTCCTAAATTATGTAAGTATCAAATCATAAGATTAATTAACGCGTATGATTTGAATCAATTAAGCGCAAGTCCTTTTAATTTGTAAATATTATTCAAAATTTTGAATCGATTAAGTTCAACCACTGACAAGAACGTATCAATCGTGTTAACTATTTATAATTAAAGTCTACTATCCTTTTAATTCTATTTTAACAAAAATAATAATAATTTAATTCGTAAAATCGTAAGAATCAAATCGTAAATTGTAAAATTTAATCTAACCACGAATCGATAAGTCTGGCGATTTTTACGAATTAAATTATTATTTTTTATGATAAAATTCAATAAAAAAAAGATATACTAAACTTTAACTATACATAGTTTGATTAATACGCTATTGTAAATTATTGAGTTTTACCGATTCAAATATTTGAATATTGTCTACGAATTGAAATGAGTTGAGCTTAATCGATCAAATCTTTAAATATTGTTTTTGAATTGAAAGCACATGAGTTTAATTGATTTAATTAAATCTTACAATTTCCGATTCAATTCAAAATTTAAATTCTTTTAAAATTCATTTTTAAATTACACGAGTTGATCAACATTTCCTTAAATTTTTAAATTATATTATATAAAGATTTGTTAGTATGGGATATTTTTAATATATAATAATAATTATATGAGAATTAATAATTTATTTAACATTATTTATATAAGTTTTATAATCATTATACATTGTAGCTTTGTGATATATAATCCGTATTGTTAGTGTATTGTCAATTATGTGTTGTGTATCAATGGTGAGTATGCTTGTATGCTTTTAGATGGCCACAAGTTCGAATTCAGGTTGATGCAATTTTGGATAGGTGGTTTAATGACTTTTGGACACGGGTATCTCATATAAGTCGTGTTTGAATTCAGATTGATGCAATTTTGGATGAGTGGTTTAATGATTTTTGGACACGGGTATCTCATGTAAGTCGTGTTCTTGGGATCTCGCTGCTTCCGCGGCCCTCTGTCCTTCCAAACTGCCTTTCTCGTCCAATTGGTTCTTGCTTTTCCACTATATTTAGCATTTTAATTCGGTTGATATTTTCAATTTGTTCCGTATGTTTTTGGTCAATATTCATGGGGTTTTTGATTCGGTGGACCTGACGATGCTCTTGCAGCCCCTTGTAAATTATTATTATTATTTTTTGTTACATGAACTCCTATGGAATTTGCTTCTCCTGATTAAGGATTGTTTGATATTTGGGTCTCGCAAGTTCCCAAGGGTAATCGTTGTTGTCTCATTTTGTTTGATGTTAATTAAAGAAAATAATAACTTATTCAAGGGCTTTGGAATAGGTCAGCTCTGTGCAACTTGTAGATAATTTTTTATTGAAACGAGATCGTGAAAAAACATATTTTAAGGTAGTAGTAATTATGATTTCAGATTTGTGATTCATTTCCGTGAGGATGGTGTACTTAAGACTCCGTGACTGATTTTTCGGAATTAATTTTGATGTCTCCTCAAGAGATTGTGTAGTGTTTTATATTAGCATTGAATTTTTCTTTCTTTCTTTCTACAGGCTTCGACGGAGCAAACTTTTTCTAATGAAAGATTCATTCTAATTTTGGGGAATATTTTCTTGATTTTATACGGAAACAACTTCCATGATTTCCAATGATGGTAGCAACATGATTATAGAGTATTGACTATTTGAGGCGTAAATTTCAATCCTTAGAATTTTATTTTTTTTCCTATCTAGAAACTTAAATCTTTTGCCTCAATTCTTTTCAAACTTGATCATTAGTCCATTGGCTTTGGTGCCCTTGTTCGGGAAAATATGAGAATAGGCGGAGATGTTACAAGTGCTACTGTAACATCATCGTTGCGAGAAACTATAAGCTTTAATACATTGTGCTAAACATTATATTTAGAAACATGACTACATGTATTAAATATTTTGTGTTATCTGTTACGTTGGAAAAGAGTTTGCATGTGTTGTTGCATTTTGTAAGATTTGAAGAAGAGCAGTACAAAAGAACAAATTTCTTATCTACAGTCTACAGTTCTTGAAGCTCGTGTTGGATATGTGGTTACTCTAATTTTTTTCTATGGACTATAACGAATAAGATCTTCACCGTTGCTTGCTGCCGTTTTCCATTTTTCTCTTTGTTTTATCTGCAATATAGTCATTTTATTGTTGTATGATTAAATCGATAGGGCACCGGCGCCACGCCTTACGTGGAGCTCCACCCCCGAGAGAGAGAGAGAGAGAGAGAGAGAGAGAGAGAGAGAGAGAGAGAGAGAGAGAGAGAGAGAGAGAGAGAGAGAGAGAGAGAGAGAGAGAGTACTTGTATATACGACGATCGTAGATGTAGCAAGCACAGATACATTTGGAGCCAACATTTAATTCAAAAATCATGGGCAGTTTGTCCAATTCAAATTGTTTAAATAATAATTTTGGAAAAAAATTACCAGTGGGCATAATTCAAATTTAATTTTAATAATGGAGTTTTGGGTTGTGACATTAGAGAAATGGAGGAGGATATTTCATTTCACAATTAAAATATTTTTTTAGACTAGAAGTGAAATTGGATTAAACGAAGTTGATTTTCCTAGCCGAACATAATAAC